CAGCCCTGCCCCGGCCAGGTGAGGGCCCTGGGGTCCCAGTAGGTGAGGGCCCGAAGGAAGGGAGACGCCTGCCGGGCCCCCAGCCGGGCCCCGGGCCTCCAGGGCAGAAGCCGCCTCAGGCCTCTGTCCTCCGGCCCGTGGCTGGCCAGTCTCAGCGGACAGACCGGGCCCCCCGCCCCAGCCCCCGGCTGCGAAGTCTCGCCTGTGCGGCCCCCACAGGCTGTCCTGCCTCGGCCGGGCACTGCAGCAGCGTCAGGCTGTGGCCAGCTGCCCTCAGAGGCCCTGCCTGGCCTCGGCCAGCTGCTGGGCCCTGCTGCTCAGCTGGAGACCTGCGGGCCCGCAGCCCGGCTCTCGGGAGAGTGGCCTGCAGGGGCCTGGGTGGGGCAGTGTTGGCCTGGGGCCTCAGAGGGCCTGCCCTTCCTGGCCTGCCCTGCCTGTGTCCACTGTGGAGTGTGAAGGGCCCGTGGGCGCTGGGCAGCCGGCATGGTCAGCAGGTGTTGGGAGAGGAGGGCTGCCCAGTGTGGCCAGAGGGACCTCTGGGCCTGGCGGCTGCCTTTGAGTGGAGAAGGGAGATGGAGCTGAGGGTCAGGAGGTCGGACATGGCCTAGGCTGTCCAGCAGGCCGATGCGGCCTCCTTCTGGTGAGAAGTCAGGGTGGTGACACAGATGCCAGGAGATGGGTGTGAGGACACCTGGACAGATGGGCTAGGCGGTGGCCAGCAGGCTGAGCCTGGCTGGAGGGTGGACAATGGAGCCAGGGAGTGGCCTTCCTGCCTTGACCTCACACTGGCCTCACAGAAGGAACCTCTGTTGTTTTTTTTTTAAAGATTTATTTATTTGTTCATAGAGAACTGGGGTACAGGCCAGAGGCTCAGGGGCGGCGAGAGGCTTCCCCAGAGACAGAGCGGGGAGCAGAACAGTGGACAAAGTCCACTGCTGAGGGGAGCAGCGGGCGGGTCAGGAGAGGTCTGCCGCGCCATGTGGTCTCCTCCGGGGCAGGCGGGAGTCGAACTCCTGCGGAAGCGGCTTTAGCTTCTCAGTGCTGTGACCCGCTGCGCCCCCAGGGAGGGCCAGGAACCTCTGTTGTTTTAAGCCCCTGGGTGTGGGGACAGGCCACGGGGCCACCAGTTGGGTGTGGGGACAGGCCACGGGACCGCGGGGGAGCATGGGGACGGCCACAAGGCCACTAAGTGGGTTTGGGGACAGGCCACAAGGCCGGGGCCCCGCACAGACCAGGCGCCCTCTGGCTCCAGCACGAGGCTGACCCCAAGTCCCCAGCCCAGCGCGTAGGCCTGACCGCGGGCAGGCGGCCAGAGGCCAGTAGGACCAGCTGCAAGGCCAGCAGTGTCCAGGGCTCGGCCCCCGCCGCTCTCTGCGCTGACCCCCGGGTCTGTGGGGTGGTGGTCCTGGCCACTGGGGTTCCCAGCTCTTGCCCGGCTTCCGGCCCAATCGGCACGGGGGGCCACCGAGGAGGCCGCCGCCCAGCGGCGAGCGGAAGGGCTGGGCCTGAGCCGCAAGGCGGGGCCTGGGGTGCAGGACCTGCGGTCCCGCGGG